ATTGTTTTACAGGGGTTATCTCTAATAGGATTTAACAACAAACAATAATATGGCATTATCCAATTTTTTTTTAAATAATAATTTTCTGACACACTAAATGGAACCAAGATAGCATTAAGCAGTCTTCTTTTCTCCTGCTTTCCCAAGGACCATTTATATTAAAATCAAATGGCTGCATGGATCAAGAATGTGCAGCATATCATATTTATACATTTGAATTTTAGATTTGAAGCCATGCTCACAGAAATTTAAATTTTTTAAATATTTGACAATATCAGGAAAAGTCACAGAAGTAATATACTTTGCATCATTATAGTCAACAAGAAAAAAATTCTTAGTGTTTTGGACATTAAATGTTTTGTATACATCAGTTTTCTATGCATGTGCCCTCATCTCATTTAAGACTATTTTAATAATTACAGATAGTAATTTGTATTCCTAAAACCATCTGTCCCATTTTTTTTAAAAAGCTTTAACGTCCTGCGTAACTTTTTAAATGCTAGTTTACCAACACCAAGAACACACTGCTTTCTCTGTGTGGCTCAACTATATTTCACAATAAAAGGCAAGTTAGGCCCTGGCTGGTGTGGCTCAGTGGACTGAGCACCAGCCTGCAAACCAAAGGATTGCCGGTTCGGTTCCCAGTCAGGGCACATGCCTCGGTTGCGGGCCAGGACCCCAGTTGGGGGCGAACGAGAGGCAACCACACATTGATGTTTCTTTCCCTCTCTTTCCCCTCTCTCTAAAAATTAATAGATAAAATCTTTTTAAAAAAGGCAGCTTAGAACCCCATTCAATCTCCATCTTCGGGTTTGCAATGGCCTTGAATTAAAGGCAGATCATAGCTAACGATATCCAAGTATGAGGTTTTACATATTTTATCCTAAGGATCTTTGTTTGTTTTTTAAAAAGAAAAACATGATTGTATATCTCTTAAATGACCCCCTATGTGTAGACTAATTCTTTTGATTCTTGAGCATCTTCAGTAATCACTGTGGAATACAGGATGCTGCAATGATCTGAGAGAGATTTCTTAATAAAGACTGCAAAACTGTGAGTAAACCCCCAATACTCCAGTGGGCTAACTTCTGACATACTCCAAAGTCAGTAGTCTATTGCCCAAGGGCCAAGTCCGATTCTGCTAACTATTTTTATGGGTAAAGTTTGACTGGAACACAGCCACAGCTATTTGACCAAGTATTGTCTAAGGCTGCTTTTCTGCTACAACAGCAGAGTTGAGGAGTCATGTGCTGCTTAATGAAGGGGATACCTTCTGAGAAATGCAATGTTAGGCAACTGTCATTGTGCAAATGTCACAGAGCACACCTGCCCAAGCCTAGATGTTACAGCCTAGTTACACCCTGGGGGCACATGGTATAGAGCCCACTCCCCCATGGGCTACAAGTCTGAAGAGCACGTTACTGTGCAAAACAACACGAGATGAAATCAAACACAGGAGAAAAGGAGGTATGGTTAAGTAAGCGGCTGTGTGTGTGTATGTGTGTGGAGGTTTCTTGTGCTATTGAAACTTTTCTGTCAATTTGAAAGTATGACAAAATAAAAAGATTTAAAGAAAGAGTTAAAACAAGTTTCAATATGAGCAGCAGAAAGGAAAAACTTCAGTTACCTTCTCCCACAAGCAGAGTTAATGCATTGTCTGCCATAATGGATTTGTAACACATATAAACCATGCCTGGTAAATCCATGGTCCCAAGCGTGCCTGAGGCTGCAGGCTGCCTTCGCTCCCTGTAATTCTGCAGCCTAAGTACCAGCTTACAAATTCTGCCCTTTGAATTTAGACTACTTTATGGAAAACAAGCTAACTGATCATTAAAGGAATCAAAAGACTTTAAGACAAAAGAAGCTGGGGTTGAGAGAGCAGTAGGAGGGAGGGGGGAGCAAGAAGGGGAGGAAACTGAATAAAGGAGCCCAGTTCATCAGCACACCAGACGAACGTGTTCTGAACGATCGCAAGTATCAGCAGTCCTATTTTAGCTTTTCCCTTGTAGAAAAGGACACTGACCCTGAACACTTGACCTTCATACAACATATGTACCTCCTCTCTAGTTTTTACATACCCATATTCCAAGAAGAGATATGAGTTTATTTTTATAAAATACAAACACTAAGCACACATTATGCTAACTGACAAGGTGCCTAGCGGGCCACACACATCCAATTGTTAAATATAGAAACTAACTGTAATGAGAATCATTATCTCCAGTTTCCAAGGATACCAGGATAAGCACTACTCCTAAACTGCAGTTCACTCAGCAAAGGGCACAGGGTAATATATCGTCAGGGTCATCCTCAGCTGAGAGCAGACGCAGGAGGAGGACCACGGTAAATCACCCCGATTATTCTATTCGGTTTGTTACCTAGTCCAGTTCCCAGCCCCCGGACCCCACTCTCTGGTCCCAAACCTGGCCGATGTTTTATAAGTGAAATGTGGAAGATCTGATTATAAATAACAACTTCCAAGAGGAAAAGAATCCACAAGGGCAGGGCGGTCTGAGACATGACTACTGCTGGGGGCGGGGGGCGGGGTGTGGGGAAGGTTGGCACTCGCATTTGCTTTGTTTGTGAAGAGGAGAGGAGGCTGGATTTGTGTGTCTGCCACGCCAGTCGCCATCTTCCCTGGTGCCTGTGAAGACCTGTACCGTTAATTTCAACGTCCCATCCAACCACAGCCTTACCTCTCCTAAACTGCCCCAGTCTCCAGAATCAAGTCCTTTTCAACTTAACTCTGTTTTCTAGATTCTGCAATCTGGACCTTCCATACAGTTAACCTACTGTGTCTTTCCACAGAAATAAAAGCATAAAAACTTTCTGACAACCTCAGAGATGCTGCCTCTCCATCGTTTATCGATTTGTTCAAGGCCATTTCAGGGTTGCCTTCAATGTGATGGGCTCTGTACCAGGCTTGGGAGGCAGTAAGGAGAAGCCATACAAGACTTCACTTTTGATCACCAGGGAAGGTTTTTCAATAACAGGCCATGTCACTTCGGCAGTTTACAAAGAGGCATTCTCCCGCTCAGCCAAATTGTCACTTACTGAAATAGTCAGGTAGATTTCATGGATACTGTAGATTTATCTTAAACACACAGAAAACACACAGGGTGGGGCAAAAGTAGGTTCACAGTCGTTCGTGTGGAAGCAGACCTAACAGATCGTGAAAATAATAACACAAGAAAAAAATCTGTGTTTCACATACTCACAACTGTAAACCTACTTTCGTCCACCCCATATATAAAAAATATCATCCAGATATAACAGCAATTTTCCACTTAGTCCCGCCCCCATCACCTGTCTAACTGTTACAGTAAGACCTCCCACACAGCATCTCAGCCAGGGGCAGGGGCGACTGTAAGGAGAGAAAAGCCTCCCTCACTTCACGGGCTCCCTCCAGAGCGATGTGACACACTGTATCAGGCTAAGCTTCTCAGCTTAATGTGATAACGGAGGAGAATAAGCTGCCTGTTTTGCTAAGAACGTCTTCTGGTGCTTCCCTCTTTTGCACAGTTCCATTAATTGAAACTGTGCACCGCTTTTATGAGGCGAAGGAATGAAATACCACAAAGGTTTCTAATTATTATGTAACATCTACAGTGTATCTCAATAAGGCAAACTATTTTAACATTAACAGTGAATACAAAATCCAACATGGCTCTGAAAACTTTCTTCCTGGACATTTAGATGGCTGCACTATATTTAGACGCACGGTCTGCATGATTTCCGTACAACCCAACTCTTTTATTTTTAATTAAAAAAGGCTCACTTTTCTTTTGCACTGAAATATTTCTAAATTCAATAAACAAAAGAATAATGTCGACTTTTAAAACTACATGAAAGTGGAAGTCCCAGTTCTCTTCGAAGTTATGTCACTCACTATTTTCTGTGTATTATTCTGACAGCTACTATTTCTCCCAAGGGGCAACGCCGTGGGGGCGAGGTGGCTTTAGACACTTTCTATGCCTGAATCTTGAAACTTTGAACATGCTTATGCTGAGAGGGTTCGGCTGGACAGGCCACCCTCTAAACTCCCTCCCTCGCCCACCTAAGGCGGATGGGTCCCCCACAAGACAAAACCCAGGCGTTGTCTTCGTTGCGGTCACAAGTCAGGGGCAGGCGATAACAGACACCGGCTTTCACCAAACCTCTGCCTGCTTACACGAAGGGACATCACTGTGTTCCCTAACTGTGCATAATCCGCTTTATTTATTTATTTACTTACTTACTTATTTATTTTTTGAAGCCTTCAGCATTGCAAGTCCCTTACCCAACCATTCGGGGGCCCCAAACTTGGACTTGAGCCACTTGGCTTTCTGGATGAAAAAAACCTCGGGGGTCCACCTTTTTCCTTCTGCTGCTAATTTTTTTTAACATCTAAATTGTGCAGGTCTTCGAATACTTTCTAGTAGCCTGCCCCCTCCTCCTACCTCCTTGCAACTAGAAAGTGTCCAACTGGCAACCCTCGAATCATAAAGGCGGCAAAAACGCCCCTGAGTGCTGTCGCCAATTTTTAAAAAGTAGATTAAGGACAACCAGAAAGGCGCAGCCGTGACAGCGAGGCCCAGCCGCGTCGCCCGCGCGGCTGCGGGGCGGCTCGGGTCCGGGCCCAGAGCGGAGCCCTCAGCCTCCGGCGCAGCCTCCCGGCCTCGGCGGCGGAGGCCGTGACGGCCGAGAACTCAGGTCCCCGGGCGCCGTCCGGCTGCGGTGGGGGGTGTGGCCGCGGTGACAGTGGGCACCGGGAGGCGAAGGGGGTGTCCGGCTGCAGGTCTGTCGGAGTGGAGGTGACACCTTAACCCGAGACTTGCGAGGGGAAGGTGGGTCCCCCGGGCGAAGGAAGCAGCGGAAGGCGGCGCGTCGGCGGCGCCCGGGGGTCTCCGGGGCGGGGCGTGGAGGCGCGGCTGCGGGCGCCCGGGGTCCCGCGTCCCGGGACCGTCGCGTGCGCCGCGCGGGGGGCGAGGCCGCGCGGGGCGGCCGCGGGGCGCACTCACCGATGCACAGCTGGATGGCGTAGGCGTAGTAGGACCAGCCGAGCAGGAGGCTGATGAACACCACCGGGATCCAGTACAGCACCCGCCGGCACCGCCGCCTGACGCTGCCCGGGCCCGAGGGCGCCATCTTCCAGCAGCATCCACCTGCCCAGCGCCGCGGCCGCCGCCCGCGGGCCTGGCTCCGGGGCGGGCTGGCCGCGCCCGGCGTCCCCGGCGGGACGGGCCCGGCGGCGGCGGCGGCGGCGGCCGGCTGCGCTGCGGCCACTGCGGCCGCCGTGACGCTAACTCCCCATCCCGCAGCCCCGAGCCGGCGCCGCGGACTCCCGGGTCCTGGGCCCGGCGGAGCGCTGGCTGCGAGAGGAGGGCGAGCGGGAGGACGCGGAGGCTGCGGGAGCCCGCGCCCCGCCCCTCTCGCCCGCCCGCCCGCCGCCTCCCCCGCGCGGCCGCCGCGGAGCCCGCGGAGCCCGCGGCCGGCTCTCGGGCGCACCGGGGCGCCCGCCGGGGCTCTGCGCCGCCGGGGGGACTCGGGACCCCGGGAAGGCGGGAGGCGGGCCCGCGGGGCAGGGGGCCGGCGCCGCCCTGGAGGTCGGGCTGGAGGCCGGGAGGCCCCCGCTCGGCGACCGCGCCTCGCGCTGTCGGGGAGCCGGAGTGGCCGCGCCGCGCGCAGCGACGCCCGCGGGCAGGGCAGGTGGCGGGGCAGACCCCCGGGAATGGGCCACCAGAAAGTCTCGGGGCTCCAAGGCCAAGGTCCTCCGGTTGGGAAACTGACGCTCCCACTTGTAGCTCCGGTGAGCAGGCGAGGGCAGGAAGGGCGGGGCTGCTTCTCTGTCCAGCGAGGCTGCGGGGTTTGGGCCAGGCGGCTGCTCCGCTCCCAGGCTTTTTGGGGGGTGGGACTGCGCCACGAAGGGGTGCGGGGCCGTCTTCTGGCCTGGAAGAGGTGGGGACTGAGGAAGAAGCGCTTTGGGTTGAGAATCCAGGGACCACCGAAGTTTAAAAAAACACAAGCTATTTGCTCTGAGAATTGGAACTCTTCTGTGAAGTTATTTCGTGATTGTAAGAGTAACCATTCCCGCCCCGCCCTCGGCCCCCCGAGGGTCGGGGGCTCCGCTGCGGCCTCTTTCCCGGCCGGTTCTGCGGCGCAGAACCCAGCGCAGAGCTGAGGCTCAAGGGCTTGTTGCAAATCTTGGACGGGATCCTGGAGGCACTGGAGTTAGACCAAAGCTTGTGATGGATGAAAAGGACAAAATACAAATAAATGCTCCTGAGGTTCTCTTTTTTCCCTTCATGAGATTATGAACGTAGCTGATTTCTCACGAAACATCTCAGTACATGCAGGGTATCTGAATTATATACATAATTACTGGGGGTTATGGGCACAAAACATTAATGGATATGTATATATTTACAACACAGAGCCACCGTATTGAGTGAAATTACCTTATTCATATGGGGAACGAAAAGATAAAGTAGAATTAAAAAATAAGTACTGTTTTGCATACATTTAGTCAAAGAAATCTAAGCTCTTACGTGTTTGCGAGTATCTTTTCTGTGATTGGATTAAACAGCAAGCTACTCTCTCCTGAAATAGCTACTGTATTACACACGCATCCCAAATCTCTGCGCTTCTATTTAAAAAGTGCATAGAAAATGCCAGTCAAGTTTCCTTGGGACTTGAAATAATTGAAATGAGAAAATCTCCATCCCAATGAGTCACTTTATATTGTTGTCTCACCATTTATCTTATACTGGGTGCCCTTCAGGGCAGATGAGTACAGACGTATAACTTCCCATGGATGTTAACCTTAGGTTCCCAATCAGAAAAGACTAAAAACAAGAAATAAAGTCCTGCCAGGAGCGAAATACCCCCACAGAGACGAGCAAATCTGTGATTGAAGGCCACTCAAGACTACCATGGGGTGGGAAGGAAGGGCGCCCATTTCCCAGAGGGGACGGGGAGCAGGCTAGGCCTCCCTGGGCGGTGGATGCGGCCCGTGCGCTCCGCGGCTGTGCTGCGAACGGCCTGGCGGGGCCTTGAGGTCGAGGACCCAGCAACGTTCCCCACGGCCTTCGCCTCCTTTAGCCTTTGCGGGGGAATATGCAGGTGTAACGTTTTTGCAGGAGGCTACATGTTTATTAGGTATGTAAAGTGTTCCTGAATTGTTCCTACTTACTGTAAATATTTGTGGAATAATTGCAACGTGTTTTTAACCATTTTAAGAGGACTACTGTTCCTGAGTTCTCCAAGGGTATCATTCTTTTTTTTTTTTTTAGGTTGAGCGCAGGAAGAATTGTCTCAAAAGCCACAAAATGACAGACTTTATCTCTCTGCATAATCACTAATTAGACCGACATAGCACACCTGCTCACATGTTAGCGCTTTGGTAAGGAGAAAATCTCTAAATACTAGAGTTTGATGAGAAGGGAAAAATAACTTCAATTTGTAGGAATAGGGAGCCTTTGATTTTTTTAAATTAATGACTTTTTAAATCATTTAAAATAATAAATGATTATTATTTAGGGCTATGTACCACAGAAAAAGAATTTGGAGGTCATAGACAATTAAGAAGGAACTTCACTAGAGACTCTAGAGAGAAGTTACAGGTTCACTCACCAATTTTAGAGATTCGATAATGACAACAAATTGTGACTTTCGTGTGATAACTTTGATGAAACCGCTACCGCCACTTCGGAGAAGGTGGGTCAGCCACAGCTGCGGAAGGAGAGGGCAACACTGAGCAGAGGCGAGGGGAGCCTCAGAGAGAGGAGGGGCCCCCTTCCCTGGCCCCCACCCCAGGCCCTAAGAACTGCGACTCCATCCTCACAGGCCTCCACTCAGTAATTCATTGAAGCCGTTAACCTCTGAACATTTAAAAACCCTGTTATCAGTCCCAGGTCCATGGATGAAACGCGACCCTTCTCTCCCTCTGGCCAAGGTGGACTTGGAACCAGTCCCCAGATACTTCAGTCCCCAGACCTCAAATGATTCTTGCCACCATGATTAATACTCCAAATTTCCCTCCTACTTCCAGTCCCAGGTTGAGTTTTTCGCTTACTCCTGTCCTGCTCATAGTCTGAATCAAGAGCAGTGGGCCGGCCAAGCCCAGGCACCGACCCCCCATCCCTACCGCACCTCCCCGCCCCCCGGCCCCCGGCCCCTTCACCAGGGAGCCTGGACCTCCATTTGTGCCGCCTCTACCAACTTCACCTCATCTGTTCAGCCAAACCACCTATCAGTCACTTGATTAGGTCACTTGCTTCATAGTTACTCACTTCCTTTTGAAAGTCTTCTCAGGAAAACCAAAAAAGGGTTCTTAAGGGAAGTGTTGCACCTTTGACTGTAAGGTCAATTTTATGAGTCTCAGGTATGTGATCAATTGTGCTGATTTTGCTCTCAGGGTATGGCGCTGGACAAAAGCTGCCTTCTGAATTTTACAGGGACTGGAAGGAATGAAGCTGAGGGCTGGATCTGCTCTTTTACTTACAGCTCTCCCATTCTTACTGGGCGGGCGGCGGTCTGTGAAAGTACTGATGTGTCTTCTTTCGTTGTTTTCTTAACGTTCCCGCTCTTTGGGGGCGGGTAGGAAACCCCTTTGGAAGTCAGCAACCCATATCAATGGCTCCACCATTAATTGCGCTTTTATAATGGCGGCCAAGATAGTCACTGTAGGAGAACAGTAATATGCCCAGATCGCATGTTTCCGGACACGTAAAATACAAGTCTTAGAAAAGGGAACTTGGTTTAGGGAATATGGGGGCAACGTCATGGTAAGATACTCCTTGTCTCTTAGAGATTTCTCGTTTTCAATCAACCTAGGATGGAATGGAATACAGTGCAAAGGCCTAAGGGATGTATGGTTAATTGGCTCAAAACATTGGGAAAATGGCTAAAATGGGAAAAACCATCCCTGACAAACCTCCTTGCCACTAGATGGCAGGTGCACACCAATCAGTCCAGCTCTCCTGACGCTTTTCAAAGAGATTTCAATAGCATCAATCATTTCGCTTAACCGAGCCAATTATAAATTATGATTTATAACTTTGTGACAAGTGCTATATAATTAAAACTAATTATAACTGTGCAATTCTATGTTATAATTCAGGAGCTAATGATTAATTAATAAAAACCATAGTCAGAAAACTGAAAAGAATAAAGAGAACATTTTTCTAGCTAGCAAATCACTCTGATTCTGCTCCTCCTTCCTTACAGTTTGCACTGTTAATCTCTTTAGAAACAAAATCAGAACTTTTCACTTAAATGAATGCTTTTGCTTACACTAACTTCTTCCCTTGTGCAGAAAGGGGGGAAGGAAGTGTCCGCAGAACCTGTGAGGTGAGCAGATGTTTCCCCCCATGACTGGCAGGACCGTTCTGCGATGACACAATGGCACGAGTTCCCTGAGGCTATCAGAAGTGGCCGATGTGGAACTGAGAGGTGAGTGGAGAGCAGAGAGTGGCCAAGGGCAGCGGAGTCCTGCAGTGAGGTGGCAAGCGTCCAGTGTTGTCAAGGCCAGCCCTGTCATCCTAGGCAGACTGTTCTGGACGCAGGGCCTTGGCTGAGCATCAGATCTACCCGTCAGCTCAGGTCTGATTCTCCAGACTTCCCGTTGATTTTGTGGGGGCTTTTATACTTGCAAAAACGTTTTTTTGTCTTTGTGTGTAAGTCAACGAGCATTGATTGTGTTTGCAGCCAAGCACACCGACTGGGACATAGTTTTCATTTCATTCTGTATCCTGTTTCTTAAAGAATTGGAGTTGGCTCCTGGAGCCTGAGGCACTAGGAGAAGCAGGATACAGGAACTGGCTGCGGCGGAGCCTCGTTCTCCAGACCTGCCGTGTGCAGTAAGTAGCTGCTAGCCACTTGAGGCTACTCCCATTTAATTAAAATGAGTGAAAATAAAGTAAAATGAAAAATTCAGTTTCGTTAGTTGCAGTTGCCACATTTCAAGTGCTCGTAGACACATGGGGCTGGTAGTGACTGTGTTGGAACATTCCATCACCACAGAAAGTTCCAGTAGACAGGACTGACTGGCATTTTATCTTGTCCGAGTATTCATGAGGCATGCTTCATATTTATACATGGCAGTAACAAAAACAATCCCCTCTCTTCATTATACCTCTGCTGTTTGG